ATTAAGGAGGAGGGGGTGGTCAACTGTGTCGAAGGCCGCAGAGAGGTCCAGGAGAAGGAGGACAGAGTAGTCGCCCTTGGCTTTGGCGTTTAGTAGGTCGTTAGTGATTTTGAGGAGGGCAGTTTCAGTGGAGTGTAGGGGACGGCAGCCAGACTGTAGTGGGTCAAGGAGGTTATTGTCTGTAAGGTGGGAGCTTAGGCGATCGTAGACTATGCGCTCAAGGAGCTTGGAGGTGAGTGGCAGCAGGGAGATGGGTCTGAGGTTGTTGGGGTCCGCGGGATCCAGGGAGGGCTTTTTGAGGATGGGGGTGATATGCGCGTGCTTTAGGGGGGGGGGAATGCGCCAGTAGAGAGGGAGAGATTGAAGATGTGGGTGAGGGAGCGGATGAGGGAGGCGGGGGGTGACCGGAGGAGTTGAGAGGGGATAGGGTCCAGGGGGCAGGTAGTGAGGCGGGCTTCTGAGAGGACTTTGGCGACTTCCTCAGTAGTGACAGGGCTGAGGGAGTGCAGTGCAGGGGGGGTTATGGTGGGCGGGGCCTTGGGAGAGGTGGGGGGCAGTGCGGTTGTGAGGGCAGAGGAGGGGGGAGATGAAGGGGTGACGGGGGTGGGGAGGCTAGGTGGGGAGGTAGATTGCAAGTTGACGATGTCCTTACGGATAGCATCAATCTTGTTGTGGAAATGGGTGGCAATCTCGTGGGAGGTGAGAGAGGTACTGAGTGGAAGAGGGGGGGGGGAGAGAGCAGGGAGTTGAAGGTGGAGAAGAGTCGGCGGGGGCAGGAGGAGAGGGTGTTGATCAGGTTAACAAAGTAGGCCTGCTTGGCGGCGTGGAGGGAGGAGGTGTAGGTGAGAAATGCAGATTTGTAGAGGAATGCAGATTATTGTAGAAATGGGTGGCAATCTCGTGGGCGGTGAGAGAGGTACTGAGTGGGAGGAGGGGGGGGGGGAGAGCAGGGAGTTGAAGGTGGAGAAGAGTCGGCGGGGGCAGGAGGAGAGGGTGTTGATCAGGTTAACAAAGTAGGCCTGCTTGGCGGCGTGGAGGGAGGAGGTGTAGGTGAGAAATGCAGATTTGTAGAGAAATGCAGATTTGTAGAGAATGCAGATTATTACATAAATTTAAAAAATCAGGGTCATCAGAACACAGCCTTTTTTCCCACTTTATACAGACTCCAAATTGTGAAGACCGGGAGGTTCCTCCGATAATCACGCATGATAAGAATGGTAGCCAGGATCATAATATATATTCCTCTCCATAGTTACGTAGGAAGAAAAAAAAAATTTGCTCCAATCGTGTATTACCAAAGGTAAACAACTTTAATAACCCAAAATATTGCACTCACAACATTCCAAAAATAGTTAAGCCTTATTTAAAATAGCCTTTCAGTGAAAGATATCGCAGGTGCTCTCACCACCTCCGGATCTGCCTGACAGAATGCCGTCTCATCACTTCCGGTTGCGTATCTGTGTCACTTATGGTCCGCCGCACCGTCACACCCTCTCCGTGACCATACAATCTAATCTGGACATCACAACAAATCAATAAACCAATATTGACATAATGATGCAATAAAAATAAAGAATAAAATCAAATATAAAATAAAATTAAAATAAAAAATATAAAAAAAATAAAAACAAACATCAAAACATAAAATAGTAAAATTTCATAAATCACTAATAAAACATTAATCACAAAAAATTCAACATTCAATCCCCTGGAACTAAAGACTGAAGAATATATATCTACTAGGTCTCCCTATTAGAAAGATCTCTTACTCTATTTGCCCCTCTCCAATTTTTGGGAATCCAATCAACACCCCAATATTCTATTAATTTGGGATTTTTATTATGAAACCCGGCAAAATGGTCTGATACATCATGGTCTTTAAACCCTTTTTTGAAAATATTTCTTTACATTTAATTACCTTACATATTTATGTATATCCACATATACACTAAATGTATCTATGGGTTTCTTAGGGGCACATTTTTTTTTTTTTTATTTAAATATTTTAGTAAATTTTCAAATTTGTACAAACAAACCATAAATAAACACATAAAACTACCACAGTTTTTTGAAATATCTAATTGTTAACCAGAAATACTTAACATTTTCCCTCCCCTCCCCCCCTTACCACCCAACCACATACCCCTCTCCCTCCAACCCCCCAAAACTTCCCACTCTGAATCTTTCCCACTCCCTCTGGAGATCCCAATTCAGAAACATATCCACATTATTTCTCTATTACACTCCCATATACTCTAGGATTAATTCTGACTCCTTAAAATCCTCCCACTTTTTCCACTTGGCACAAAAACTCTCCATATTATCTTCACTCAAGTCGAAAAGTTCTTCTAATCTATATATCTGGTCCATCCTGTTTATCCAATACTTTATTTTTGGTACCTCCTGTTTCTTCCAAAACTTGGGTATCAATCCCTTCGCTGCATTAAGATAATACAATAAACCATATTTTTTATATTTCTTAACTTAGCTAGCTTAGTACCATGGAATAGGCAAGTCTCTGGGTCTTTGGAATATCAACCTCCGTTATTTTCTGGATCATATCTACTATTTGCCCCCAATACTCTTGAATTTTAGGACACTCCCACCAAATGTGATACATTGTACCTCTATCCCCACATCCACGCCAATATAAAGGTTCATTCAATCTGTGTACTCAGTGTAATATACCATCTTGCCAAACATTTATAATTCATCTCTACCGCCTTTATATTTACATTATCGTGTATTAAACTATATATTTTCTTTTGCTTTTCCATATCCATCATTAATCCTATATCCCTTTCCCACTTCTGTGATTATTCCAGTGAGAATCTTATATATTTTTGATATCCCGTGTTTCCCTTCTCCCCTTGTGTCTAATAAGTGCTCAAAAGGGTTCCAAACCCCTCTTGTTCTCAATGGCCTTGGAAGCTTCCCTACAAAGTGTTTCAACTGATAACGCCACTCGTCAATTCTCGTAAATATTTCCATCTTTTTTTCCAAATCCTTAAGTGAACCTATTTCCTCCCCCACCATTACATCTCTCAACCGTACATCTTCCTTCTTTATCCACTTCCCAGCAACACTTTCTTTACCCGGAGAAAAATAATCTGTGGACCATAAGGGCATTAAAAGTGAATTATATTCCCACCCTTTTTGTTTATGTAAAACATCCCATACTCTTAACACATTCAGTGTAGAAAAAACTTGTGTTATCTGCTAATCCTCGGAATTGTGAGGGTACCCATACAATTCCACTAAGGTTTGTGTTACTTAGTGTGTTTTCTATTTTTACCCAACTTTTCCCATGTGAATTTTTGTGTCCAATCAAATATTCTTGTCAGTATTACCGAGTTATAGTACCTTTTTAAGTCTGGAACTCCCAGTCCACCTTTCTCTTCATTCCTACTTAAGATTTCATAACTTATTCTAGGTTTTTTTCCTCCAAATAAATCTTAAAATTTTTTTTAGTTATTCTAAAATATGCTTCTGGTATTTTGATTGGTATCATTTGGAATGTATATAGAATTTTTGGACCTATCCATGACAGAGTTCCCCCACCTAGTTTTCTTAGTTCATCCTTAATCTCATTTAAAAATGGGATATAATTTGACCTATATCAATTCTTAGAGATACAGTTAATTTTGTACCTAGATATTTTAATTATTTTTCTCTCCATACAAAGGGAAATTCCTCCAGTAATATATTTTTCTCGCTGTCTAAAAGATTTATATTTAAAATATCTGTTTTAGTTGGGTTCATTTTTAAGTTTGGCATCTCTCCATATTCCCTCAATGATTTCATTAAGTTTGGTAATGTTATCCTTGGGTTTCCCACATAGAACATATCATCTGCATAAGCTGCCACCTTATGCTCTATCTGTCCTATCCTGATCCCTTTTACAAACAAAGATTCCAGAGATAGAACGTACAACAGTGGAGACAAAGGACATCCCTGTCTAGTTCCATTCTGCATTCCAAAGCTCTCCGACATTTCCCCATTAACCATGACTGCTGCAGAGGGTTGACTATATAGTTTCCTTATCCATTCTCTTATTCTGGGTCCCATCCCCAATTTTCCAGCGTATCCAACATATAACCCCAAGCCACTCTGTCAAATGCCTTTTCTGCATCTATCGAGAGGACCACTGCCAGGATTTTTTCTCTCCTACTTTTTTGTATGAGAAACAAAATGGTCTGATACATCATGGTCTTTAAACCCTTTTTTGAAAATATTTCTTTACATTTAATTACCTTACATATTTATGTATATCCACATATACACTAAATGTATCTATGGGTTTCTTATACATTTAGTCTTAATCCATTGTCTCTACCCTCTCTTCCTGGAACGAAACTTACCTGATCCATATGTATCCATTCCGGCATCAAGTCTTTTAACCTATTTGCCAGAACTTTTGCATATAGTTTGGTATCTGTGTTCAACAAGGAAATCGGTCTATAGCTTGCACATTGAGTGTCATCCTTACCTTCCTTATGTATAAGGACTACATAGGCTTGTATAGATTCCCTTCTCATTTCCATCTCACCTCCCAATGCATTCATATATGTCCTCAATTTGGGTACTAATAATTCCTTATATTTTTTATAATATCTCACAGTATACCCATCATGTCCTGGACTTTTCCCTGCTAAAGTACTTTTTAATGCTAAATATATTTCTTCCTGCGTTATTGTTGCTTTCAGAGATTTTAATTGTTCCTCCCCTAATTCGGTAGTCCCGCTTCCTTTAAATATGTCAGTCTTTTTTCTATTTTTCCTGCATCCTCTTTACTATGGGGAATAATGTTATATAGCTAATTATAATATTCTTTAACCGCCTCCTGCCCGCCATATAGTAAAATGACAGACGCACGGCGGTCCTCCCATTCTAACCGCACATGCACGGCTCCGGGAGAGTGCAGCGCGGCGATCAGCGGTGCGCTGTGTCCCTCGGACACAGCAGATCAACGATCAATGGAAAGAGCCGAAGATGTCGGCTCAGTCATGTGATCAGCTGTGTCCAATCACAGCTGATCACATGTAAACAGGGAAATGCCAGGTATCGCTGTCAGCGTGACAGCTCGTGAGGAGAGGACAGGCGGTAATCGGCATTCCTCAGAGGGGACATGTACACAGATCACAGAGCACTGATGATCAGTGTGCCCTGATGATCTGTGTAGCCCCAGCAGTGCCACCTGTCAGTGTCCATCACTGCCAGCTCTCAGTGCTCATCCATGCCACCTGCCAGTGCCCATCAGTGCCACATTTCAGTACCCATCAGTGCTACATCAATGCCACATATCAGTGCCCATCTGACCTACCTTTCAGTGTCACCCATCAGTGCCAGTCAGTGCCACCTATCAATGCCAGTCAGTGCCACCTATCAGTGCTACCAATCAGTGCCACATATCAGTGCCAGTCAGTGTCACCTATCAGTGTGCATCAGTGCCACCTAACAGTGCCAGTCAGTGCTGCCTATAAGTGACATATATGAGTGCTGCCTTTCAGTGCCTATCCGTGATGCCTGTCAATGCCCATCAGTGCCACCAACCAGTGCCTCCTCATCAGTGCCCATCAGTGCCACCTATCAGTGTCCATCAGTGCAGCCTATCAGTGTCTGTCAAGGTCCTACCTTTCCTCAGAGGTTGTGCTGTTCCATGTGCTGGCATCCATCTTAAGTTTATGCAAAACATGGGTGTGAGCCTTTTATGCTTTCAGGCCTCTGCGGTCCCTCCCCCAGAGGGGTGTGGTTGATCACATTTAAGCCTGTTGTCTGCACTTGCTCTTTGCATTCGTGTCCTGTATGTTTCCCTTGCAGCAAGCTCTTGTTCTGTTATCATTGCTCTCCTGGTAACCGACTCGGCTTGGACAAGACCATTCTCTGCTTTAACCCTTTACCTGAACTCCTGTTGCTGTACCCGGCCCGTGACCTTAGTATTCTTAGCCTACCGTCTTGTATTGTCTGCTCCGTTGTTATAGACCCGGCCTGTCTGACACACACTACACGTTTTCCCATCTTGCTCCCACCAGCTGTACGCCATTGGCGGCAGTCGTTACCGCAGCTGGGGTTACTCGGGGGGCCGCGACCTGGTCTCAGGCTGTGTCAAGTCCATCCCCACCATCAGGGGCCCTGGTGAAGGGTAGCCTTTAGACTCCGCGCCCTGAGGGACTCTGGTCTGTGGGTAGTGGCTGTCATCAGTCGCTGCGTGACCTTACCATAGGCCTGCCTGCCCATTCCATCGCTCCTGCCTTGACAGTTTCCATCACTACAGCCTCATTAGTGCACATCAGTGATGGAGAAAAATCACTTATTTACAAAATTTTATAATAAAAACTAAGAAAAAACTTTTTTTTCTAAATTTTCACTGGTTTTTGGTTTGTTTGAGAAAAAATAAAAAACCCCAGAGGTGATTAAATACCACCAAAATAAAGCTCTATCTGTCACAAAAAAATGATAAAAATTTCATATGGGTACAGTGTTGCATGACCGCGCAATTTTCATTCAAAGTGTGACAGCGCTGAAAGCTGGAAATTGGCCTGGGCAGGAAGGGGGTATAAGTGCCCTGTAGGCTAGTGATTAAACACTTTAGCTACAGTCATGGCCGAAATTGTTGGCACCCTTGATATTTTTCCTGAAAATCAAGTATTTCACACAAAAAAGGTATTGCATTAACACATGTTTTGCTATACACATGTTTATTCCCTTTGTATGTATTGGAACAAATATAAAACAGAGGCAGAAAAGCAAATATGACATAATGTCACACAAAACCCCAAAAAATGGGCTGGACAAAAGTATTGGCACCCTTAACTTAATATTTGGTTGCACACCCTTTGGAAAACATAACTGAAATCAGTCGCTTCCTATAACCATCAATAAGCTTCTGACACCTCTCACCCGAATTTTGGGACCACTCTTCCTTTGCAAACAGCTCCAGGTCTCTCTTATTGGAAGGACAAAACCTTTTCCCAACAGCAATTTTAAGATCTCTCCACAGGTGTTCAATGGGATTTAGATCTGGGCTCATTGCTGGCCACTTCAGAACTCTCCAGCGCTTCTTTGCCATTCCATTTCTGAGTGCTTTTTGACGTATGTTTGGGTCATTGTCCTGCTGACCCAGTGGACGCAAACCCAGCTTTCTGACACTGGGCCCACAGTACAAAATCCTTTGGTAATCCTCAGATTTAGATGCCTTGCACACAGTCAAGGCACCCAGTGCCAGAGGCAGCAAAACAACCCCAAAAAATCATTGAACTCCACCATATTTTACCGTAGGTAAAGGCCTCATTTTCGGTAAATAATAGAATGATGTGCTTTACCGAAAAACTCTATCTTGGTCTCATCTGTCCACAAGATTTTTCCCAGAAGGCTTTTGGCTTACTCAAGTACATTTTGGCAAACTGTAGTCTTGCTTTTTTATGTCTCTGTGTCAGCAGTGGGGTCCCTCCTGGGTCTCCTGCCATAGCGTTTCATTTCATTTAAATGTCGACGGATAGTTCGCGCTGACACTGATGCTCCCTGAGCCTGCAGGACAGCTTGAATGTCTTTGGAAAAAATCCACCATCCGGACTATTCTGCGTTGCAATCTTGATCAATTTTCCTCATCCGTCCACGACCAGGGAGATTAGCTACAAGCCATGGGTTGCAAACTTCTTATGTTGCGCACTGTGGACAAAAAAATGACTTGTAAACCTTGAATTGTTGATATTTTGCCACAATTTTGGTTCTCAGGTCCTACAGGTTCTCGTCTCCTCTTTCTGTTGTCCAGTGTGTGGCACCGCGACACACATGCAAAGGTTAAGTGAACGTCTCTCCTTTTTATCTGCTTTCATTTCAATATTGCCCACACCTGTTACTTGCCCCAGGTGAGTTTACAGGAGCATGTGAAAGGGTGCCAATACTTTTGTCCAGCCCATTTTTGGAGGTTTGTGTGACATTATGTCGAATTTGCTTTCTTTCCTCCCTTTTTTTGTTTTGTCCCAATACACACAAAGGGAATAAACATGTGTATAGAATGTGTTAATGCAATACGTTTCGTGAGAAATACATGATTTCCTGGAGAAATATCAACAACTTTGTATATCTTTAGTTGAATACACCAATTCACCTTTGTTGTCCCTTATTTTCTCTATATAGTTCCTGGATTTCTTTTTCCTCTGAGCCCTCATTAAATACTTTCCTGGTCTATCTCCCATCTATATCTCTCGCATTCCATTTTATTAAACACTCTTCTCTTCTTCCAGAAAATTATTTAATTTCTCTCTTTTGTTCATAACCCTCTGCGTAATCTCTTTTGTTACTCTATTTTTATGTTTCTGCTCTAACTCCCAGGTTCCTTCAGAAGCTTATTTATTTTTTCTCTCCTTTCTCTCTTCTTTTTTGCTCCAATCGCTATCAGGATACCTCTGATATAGGCTTTATGAGTCTCCCACATCGTTGCCACAGACACCTCTTCAGAATCATTTTCCTTAAAAAGTTGCTCTCTTTTTTAATCTTTTGATCCGTCTTTTGATCCTGTAGAGGTTTATCGTTTATCCTCCACAATTTCCTCCTATTCAACTCATTTCCCCATAGTAATTTCATTGTGACCAGAGCATGATCCGATATTGATATCTCCTCTATTTTTACTTGAACCAGAGACTCAGTGGCCCTGATTTACTATTAAGCGTGGGCGCATATTCGTGGGCGAATGTCCAATTTTTATGAGCGACCGTCTATTTTTACCCCACAACGAGATTTACTATTGAGCAGCGCCCATAAGCAGATGCCCAATCGAATTTACAAAAAGACACACGCCCGGAATCAGACTCACAAAGCAGACTTGCTAAGAAGCACGTCTAACACCATGAAAAATCACTGCAGAGACATGTTCACTTAGAAATTTGCTTTGCCAAATATCAGGACTTCACTTTAAACAATATCTGCTATTTCCAAAAAAATTAAGAATGTGTTAAAAATCATTTTTTTAAAGGAAATCGACACTGTGAAAATCTAGACGCCCGTGCAGTGTCTTTGGCCGATATAAATGCGCATGTGCAGAACACATTTTAGATGTCTGCCATGGGCGTTTGCTTTTTAGCCAATCTTAAAACCGGTAATATAAACAGTCCTTTTTATACTTCTAGAATATTGCAGTGACAAGTGAGGTGTATTGTGCAACACTCCCCGTGCTCTGTGGATGGGTGTGCGCTCACCTCCTTGTTAGCCAGACAAGCTGGCTAAACACACTTTTTTGTCCTCACAGGACAAGGTAGGGGTCTTTACTTTATATGCGTGTTTCCATCCATATTATGGGTTGCCTTATTTCTGCCACCAGAGGTCTCCCTCCTTCCACACTTTAGCCTCAATAGGTTTCTTTAGGGGTGGTTAAGATGATCTTTCCTCCTCTCAATGATTTACAGCAATGCTGTGTTCAGCTGGCATGTGTTCAGATCCTGTTTGTAAGCGCCGCTCGTCCACCGCGGCGTCGTGACGTCAGAGCCCCTCCCCTCCCCGTCGTGACGTCAAAGCCCCTCCCCAGAGGGGAGGGGCTCTGACGTCACGACGCCGCAGTGGACGAGCGGCGCTTACAAACAGGATCTGAACACATGCCAGCTGAACACAGCATTGCTGTAAATCATTGAGAGGAGGAAAGATCATCTTAACCACCCCTAAAGAAACCTATTGAGGCTAAAGTGTGGAAGGAGGGAGACCTCTGGTGGCAGAAATAAGGCAACCCATAATATGGATGGAAACACGCATATAAAGTAAAGACCCCTACCTTGTCCTGTGAGGACAAAAAAGTGTGTTTAGCCAGCTTGTCTGGCTAACAAGGAGGTGAGCGCACACCCATCCACAGAGCACGGGGAGTGTGGCACAATACACCTCACTTGTCACTGCAATATGCTAGAAGTATAAAGAGGACTGTTTATATTACCGGTTTTAAGATTGGATGAACATTATTTTGATATGCACTATATGTTGCACTTGCTTGAAGCACATTTATTTTGGTCACGTTATTGCTTGAATTATCACTAGTATATGAGTTGTATAGTTTATTATGGAGCGCGGCACGTATATGTATATGTAGATACATACCATGTTTTATGTTTATGTTTTTGCACAGATAATGAGTATTGTGTAAAGTGCTGATGCACCATTAGCTATATATGATTTAATTATTTACTTATCACGTTAAGGGGAGTATCACATTTTGGCTCACGAGTATTATCAATCACATTCTGCTTTTTAGCCACTGCCCAATAGTAAATCTCACTGTGGATTCCTCCGACAGCCGACACTCAGTAGCATCTACTGTGTTAAACAAACAGCACTAAGCATATCTTTATGTATTCTAATTTGATTTCCTTAGTTCTAGTGATTCTATTTTTGTTTCTTATCCTTTATAATTATTTCTGTAATGATTTTACTTATTTCGAAGGTCT